GCGCGCGCCGCGCCGGGGGAAAGAGGTCTGCCGGCCGGACACGCACAGGCACAGCTCGTTCCTCCGAGCGCGTGCAGGATATTTGCGAGCTGCGCAATGAGGTGGCGCTGCTCCGGCGTGGGGGTGGATGAGCTGGGGTCGCTGGGGGGGAGGAAAGGTTAGTCAGGGACGAGGAGGAGAACGGAAGAGAATGGGAACAGGGGCAGAAGGAGAGTGGGAATACGAAAACAGGGAGAAAAGCGTAAGAAAGCGGAAGAAGGAATGAATAAGGGGATGAATGGGTGAGTGGGTGGCGATGCGGAAGGGAAGGTGGTGGAAGAAAGAACAGCAACAGAGTCCGCACAAACGGGAAGAACAGGGTACGAAGTCAAAAGAAGGAAGGTGGACGCAAGCGCAGTACGGAAGAGAAGAGGCGACGCAGGCCGTCAAAAATCGCACGACCAAAAAAAAAAAGAGCGTATAGAATGAAGACAAGAATCAAGGGGCGGCGGGTGCGATCTTTCCAAGAACGGCACGACTCTGGCCCCCGTCGATGGCGTATCCCACATGGATACACGGGACACGGCGGGCGCAGCGCGATCATCGACCGATCGACCGATCCCCCGCCAACGCTACCACCACCGCCACCGTCCACCGACATGGCGCGCGAAAACGGCGCGGAGACAAGCAGGTGCACGGCGTACGCGTCGAGAAGGTACACCGCAAGAAGGTGCGCGTCAAGAAGGCGCAGCGCACAGCACGCGCGGCCCCGGCCAGGGCCGAATTTGGCGGCTGCGCCCACCGACAGGCACTCTGCGACACCGGGACCGATAGATATCCCCCACGGCCACCTGCAGCTGCGTACACACCGACAGCGCGCGAAAGTGGGCGGATACACGAACGTGCGCAGATACACGCTCGTTGAAAAGCCGCACAGCGTTCTCGTCAAGAAAGCGCACAGAGTGCAGCGCGCGCATTCCCGTCACCCACACCCACGGGGAGCACCCCACGACCGCCACGCCACGAACGCGGCAAGTCCACCCAAAAGACGCTGTATGCCGCCGCACCAACATGCGTACACCATGCCGTGCTCGCGGAATAGCACTAAAGCCCGCGTCGCAAGCCGCGCCATGGAAGTCGCTGCATGCCCACCGCACTCACCACGCCAGAGGAGGCGCATGGACGCCACTGCAGCACCAGCCGACAACGCGCGCGCGATATCACGCCCAAAAGCACGCGCGCGCCAAACCACGAACGCCGCAAGACCGCCGCCTAAACGATGCTGCATGCCCACACCCACCACGCCCGAGGCGCGTACAGCGCGCCCGCCCGCGAATCCCCGCCCACCACGCCACCGCACAGCAGGAGCGGGTCGCCACCGCGCGCGCCGCACCGCAGATCTATGCCCCAAAGCACCCGGACCAACGCCACAAAGCACAGCAGGCGCGCGTCGTGTGTCCCGTCTGTCTGCATCCCCACCCCACCGCACAGACGTCCGCGCCGCCGCACAGCGCGAGGCGCGTCCGCCGCGGCGAGTGGGGGCGCCGAGGCTTGACGCTCACTGGCCGTCCGATAGGGCACGAGACCCCGCCGCGCTGCGTCTCAACACTCGCCAAAGCGAGATAAGGGAGGCGCGCAAATGGAAGGAGACCTAGAACGACGACATGCACACTGCCCATCCGATGGGGTACCAGACCCCGTCGCGCTGGGTCTCGAAAGCGGGATTCGCATCGCGAGAGCAGGATCCGCGACTCGAAAGTAGGATCCGAATAAGAAGTAGGAAAAAGAAAAGGGAATGGCGAAAGAAATCAAGGGAGAAAAAACGGCCAAAAAGCAGGACAGACAGACAGCCGACTCACCCATGGCCCTGCCCACACACCTCCTCCAGCCTGTGCACCGCGTTCCCGTCATCCCACTCCCAGCCGACGACTACCTCCTCGCCCTGCGCCAGCGCGCGCGTCGCAAATAGGCCGAAGCGCGTCGTCGTGTCGCCTTCCGTGTCCTCGCCCTTCCCTGCCTTCCCCCCATCTCCACCCGCACCCGCCTCCTCCCCACCGTGACTTGCCCCCCCACACACCCACGCCCTTACCGCCGCATTCGGATAACACCCCCGCCGCGCCCACCGCGCCCTCCCGCCCACGCCCCGCGCGTCCAGCGCCACGTCCAGCGGCGGCCCCACGATATGCACGAAGCGCTTCGGCGCGCCCAGGTGTGCATATGCGTTGGTGGGGTCGGCGAGGTAGGCGTCCGCGGGCGTGATGAGCGCGGGGAGGGGCGCGAGGAGGGCGTGGGGCGGGGCGGGGGCGGCGGTGTGCAGGGCGTAGGAGGGGGGGAGGACGGATGGTTGTGCGGGGTGCGGGTGGGTAGACGAGGAAGGGGAGGAGGGGTAAGGGTAGGAGGAGGGCGGCGATACGCGGTGAAGTAAGGTGGGGTGCGCGGGCGGCGGGACGGGGAAGACGAGCGGGGTGTGCTGCCCGGGGTCTGGCGGCGGGGCAGACAGTGCAGACACGCCGCGCCATTGGGTCGCGTACGCGCGGAGCTTGCGCTGGGTCGCCAAGTCGGGGACGACGTCCTCGTCGATGAGCACGTACTGCCCGCGCTCGTCCTCGTCGTTGTCCGGTATTGCTGGCGGCATAGTCGTCGTTGTCGTCAGGGGAGACCTGGCCGTCGCCAGCGGAGACCTCCCCGACACGCTCGCCCTTCTCCTTCCCACAGTGGTATTCACCTGCAAAAACGTCGTTTGTGCATGGGCATGCGGCGCACACACCCAGCACGCCCACTCCTCCGGGACGCTCTCCTTCTGCACCCCAAAGCACGCGGCATGGCACCACCGCCCGCACGCGTCACACGCAATCGAGAACCCGTCGTCTGCCCCTGACCCACACCGGCACCGGATCGCCTCGCCCTCCTCTGCTGCGCCTTCTCCTTCTCCGCCCACGCCTATTCCCTCGGGGGCACTCCCGCCGACGAACCCCCGGTGCCGCGCGCCACCTCCGCCCCCACCCGGCCCCAGCTTGCGCTTCTGCGGTACGACGCTCCCAGTGCCGTTCCCATTCCCACTCCCACTTGCGCTTGCGCTCCCACTCCCACTCGCCCCACTCGCCCCGCCTCGCCCCCCGCCGCGGTGCCGCACGCCCGTACCGCCGGTGTGATTATTGCTGTGATTATTACTGCTATGCGGTCGCGCCGAGCCGAGGAGGCTGCGGCGCTTCCCCGCCGGGGCCGATGTTGCCGTCGATGTAGATGCGGATGTTGATGCGTGCGAGTGAGAGGCCACGGAAGGGTGCATTGCCCATTGCCCAGTCCTCCCTGCGTGTATATCCTATGTAATAGCCCTTTCAGCGCTGCATTCGTAGAGTAGAGCGTATGCAGCGCACCTGTTCGAGTCCCGCAGAGAAGTATGCTTAGAGGCGTCCGTATGTATACCCTATCGAATAGCCCTTTCAGCCCCGTATCCTTTGTGGCGTAGAATCTGTATACCGGAGAATGGACGCCTTCGAAAAGCCGCTTCACCCAGGAGAGCCAGGTGGTCGGAGCAGCACAAGGACCCTGAATAGAGTTCCTAGCAGGCGAACGAAAGGGGTGAGGAGCGAGGGAGATGAGGGAGGAGGAGGAGAAGCGGCGGAGAATTTGCGGCTGTTTGGCGCGGGCGGGCGCGGTAAACAGCGGCCGGGTTGCTCCGATTGGTCATCGAGGCGCCGATACAATTGAATTTTATTCTTTTAAATGCCACTACCGCATCGTAAACTTCCTTTCTTACCGGTGCGCCAAAGGAGAAAAAAAAACTTGTGGAAACCCGCACTGACGCCTCCGGGGGGATTCGAACCCCCACCTTCCTGTTTTTAACTTCACACAGTAAATCTCCATTAATGCAGGATGACCGCCATGGTCCACGAAGGCCTTATTCCCTTCCTACTCAATCTCTATTTATGACCGTCTTTTTTCTGCCGAGGAAAAAAAAACCAATGAAGCGCAGCGGGCATGCCTTCGGAGGGAATCGAACCCCCGCCTTCCTCTTACATTAGCTCATTTGTTCCGATTACGAACTGAGGACGACCACTACGGTCCACGAAGGCTTCATTCTCTTTTTATGAACCTGTTTTTGTGGCCGTCTTTTTCTGCCAAGGAAAAAAAAAAGCATTAGAAGAGCACTTGCATGCCTTCGGGGGGAATCGAACCCCCGCCTTCCTCTTATGGTTATGCCTGTATATTCCAAGGTATGAACTGAGGACGACCACCACGGTCCACGAAGGCTTGATTCTCTTTCTATGAACCTGTTTTTATGGCCATCTTTTTCTGCTGAGGCAAAAAAAAACCCTGATGAAACGCACCGACATGCCTTCGTGGGGATTCGAACCTCCGTCTTCCTCTTACGTTAACGTGACAACACTCAATCACGGACCGAGGATGACCGCCACGGTCTACGAAGGCCTGATTCCTTTTCTGTGAACCTATTTTTATATCAGTCTTTTTGCCAGTGGGAGCAAAAAAGATAGACCCCTACACCCTCGGGGGGAGTCGAACCCCCGCCTTCCTGATATGGCCCGCTTTTTCACTCATTTAACAGGATGACTGCCATGGTCCACAAAGGCTTGTTTTCCTTTCTATTCAATTTCCATTCATGGCCCTCTGTTTTCTGCCAAAGAAAAAACAAAACATTGAAAAGCACCAGCATGCCTTCGGGGGGAATCGAACCCCGCCTTCCTCTTACTGCCTGATACACCGTCCACGAACTGAGGATGACCGCCACGGTCTACAAAGGCTCTAGTCTACATTATTCAACCTGTATTTATTCCCGTTTTTTTTCTAGCCTTGCACTGGAAAAAGGCTCCACGCCCAAAGTCACACGCCTCCGGGGGGATTCGAACCCCCGCCTTCCTGTGTTTAACTTGGCGCGATAAGGACCCATTAATGCAGGATGACCGCCGTGGTCCACGAAGGCTTTATTCCCTTTCTATGAGCCTTTCTTTATCCTCCTCTTTTTCTGCCAAAGAAAAAACAAACATTAAAGAGCACCAGCATGCCTTCGGGGGGAATCGAACCCCCGCCTTCCTCTTACGTTAACTCCTTCGTTACGGCTACGAACTGAGGACGACCGCCATGGTCTACGAAGGCTTGATTCCCTTTCTATTCATGTCCCAAAAGTGCCGATTGGCTCATAACGGTCTACCACAGCTTAAGGTAATTTTAAGAGCTTATGACCCAAACGCGTGGGTCATAAGAGCCTTTAAGCAGTCAAAAGCAGACTGCGGGTAGGTGATAAACAGTTTGAAACTGTTATAAGCCACGTAGGTCGGGGCCCCACTAATCGACTCAGAGTACTCTTGTATCGCGCCAGGCCCATTCGTAGCAAGAGAAATCATCAATCTATGTTATTTAGACGAAGGAACATGTCATCATCAATTGTATCTAATGGAAAGTAATGTTCGGCAGGGACTCCAGCGGCTTTGGCCATGAATACACCTCGTGCAACATGCTCCAAAGACAGAAACTCGGGCCGTCCAACAGGATCAACGACCCTACATCCATCCCAGGCCGTATTAGGTCGCCATTGCGAATTTTTGAACCGCTGAACGAACGCTAAGTCAAATGAATCACCGTTATGAATAGTGCATCGAAACAGCGCAAGTAGTTGCGCAATGGCGAGAGGATCTGCGTCCGAGTTGTACAGCACATAATCGTAACGGGGGCGGTGCCAGAAAGATTCGTTGCAGCGAAGAATATCGTGTTGTCCAGTCCAGTCGACCTTGGATTGAAATTCCACGTATAATGCACGGAACGATTGAATCTGGATTTCCCTTTTAGAACATGCACACCAATTTGATAAAAGTGATGAAAACTCACGTATATCATGGTCTGGGAGCTAATCTGGAGGCCGGGATGTTCGCGCAAAAGATACTGGCGCAGGGCGAGGTCAAATCCTTCAAATGTATCGCCATTCTTCCCGGACATTTGCGCCTCGAAGAGTGCCAGCGCAACCTTTCGGTCTGGTGCAGCTAGACGCCAGTGCGGGTCATCTGTAGCGGTCTCACCGGGGCTGGATACGCCAGCCGACGGTCCAGCGGGTTCGGCGATACTATCTGCGTTGTCTTCCCCGTCTTCCTCCTTTTGTTTCTGGCGCTCTCTGTCGTCAGCAACAATCATGTCGAGCTGGGCAATGACCTCCTCATTTTCATCAATTAACACCATCTGCCGCCGTTTCAGTGAGGAGAAAGAGGGAGATAAATGGCCGCACCTGGTGCTCAGCGTTAACGCCACTAGTACGTTTATAATGTCGAGCCACTTCCTGCTGGAAACCTTCCCCCGTCCGTGTAGACATATGATTCGTTGTTCCCTTCTCGCGGATATCCTGCAGGGAGTGAACCGTGTAGTGCTGCTTAAGAAAATCGAAATCCTTGTCCTTGATTTCCTAGAAACATCTTAGCCAGGCGACAAGCTTCAAATAATCAACCACATACGCGACAGGCGTGATCGTAGTCTTTGATGAAGCGCTCCATGAGCTTCAGGCGTTTCCCCGTCATGCAATGCATCCCAACGAGCATACGAAACTGTTGGAGCGCACGCAGAGCTCGGACTAAAGGGGAATTCCGGGGAAGAAGATGGACGAGACAGGGTAACATAGTCTGATAAATGTAAGCTGATATGGATGAGAACTCTGAAATTTAACTGCGTACCTTGAGGATAGTAAGCCAAGTCTCACCCTCCGCAAAATCGATCGTTGTGGCAGCAGGAACATGTTCCATTGCGCGCCAACGCGGGAGTTGATCCATACTAATATGTACGTTAGGGATCATGAGTCCATGGATACAGAAGAGCGGAAAACGCTCACCATGCGTTGAATTCATTTGTCAAATTGACATTGCTCAGAATCTTCTTCGTATAGACCCAAAGATGTCGCCCAAATTTACCACCCTCATCCCAATGGAGCGTATCGTACGAGACTGCCTTGTATGGATCCGAAAAGTTGAAGTGCCAGAGAATTTGCTGTCCCCCGAGACTTGAGTATGGCAAGAAATTGGCCGCAATGAAACTTACCTCAACATTGTGTAGCCCCGCCTTTTTAAGTACTGCCTCCTTCTCGCCTTTGGTGAGTTTGCTCTGGGCTTTGTGGACAACTGCCGCCATCGATGCTGATGTGCGGTGAGCGAAATGCCGTGTAAGGCAGTGGAGCTTGTCCTTCGGGACGAGACATTTCGGGCAGGGAAAGTTCGCCTGTGAGCTGCGCATACCCAACCACGCTGCGATTTCCTGAAAGTCCATTGACTGGATTTCGATGCCCGGAAATCCCGTGCGATGTTCGCCGTCACCGAAACGGAGAGTGTCTCCGCGATGAGAGCGCCATTTGAGCGGTGCGAGGAGCTTTTCATTGAGGCCGTGGTATACCTTACCGCACAGCTCAATGAAATCCTCTTTCTCCGGCGCGCTCAAAGTGTTTCGATCCACATTGCGGAGCGTCGGCGGCTGCGCGTCGTTAGTATGGTGCCTTCACTTGAATACTATCACCATACCATTACGATGTACCCGAGTAAAGCGCATCCACCATTCCCTGACGCGTTGCGAATAATTGAGTCGATCCACAGCCCTCGTAAGAGGATGGGATGTTTCTTAACTTTGGTGGAGACTTTTCCCTTGTCGAGCCAGATGTGGAGCGGGAGATACACACAGGGAAAAGGTGGCCTTGCCTCCACATCGATTTTATATAGATCGGGCAGCTGGTCCTGGTCTACGCTCAGTTTGGGTGCAAGGTTATAAATTAATTACTTACGTCGACGTTGCGCCATGTTTCTGCCGTGTAAGGTTCATCAATAATCTCGTCAACAACTTTCATACTCTCCCCGCCATGACAATAGAATTTCCGAGCGGAGAACCAATTACTGTAAGGCACCAGCGTCGGATCGCGTACCCACTGCTTGATCACCTCCCAAGGGTCTCGATAGCTGAACTCAATCTCGTGGGTGCCGCGAAAACGTTCAGTTCTACCCTCGAACTCGACACGGAACATTGTAGTATTAAACTGAAAATCTATTTAGGTCACTCATGCAAAATGTTGCAAACACACCTGTACTGCCATCTGACGCGCCGCAGCCAACGACATGGACATATCTTTGACCGTGCGGATAGTCAGCTTGCACGGACCAGCCCACATTTGGTTATGCAGAGCATCCAACTGCTCCTTGATCTGCTTCTCCGACTCTGCATGGCGCACGCACATCGAGGTAAAGTGGTAGTCGGCGAAGACTCGAAATGGCGCGAAGGGTTTCGTCGGATTAAATCCTAACGCAAGAGGACGTTCGGGTTGAGGCTGAGGTGGCCCATCAAGCGGAACAATCTTTGAGGCAAGCCCCGAGTGCTTGTGGTAGACGGTGAGAATGAAATGAGATGGAAGATGGGCAGTGTCTTGAACAGGAGCGGACGGCGAAGGCGGAGGAGACCGGCGGGCAGGCGAGGAGCGGTCCAATGGGTCTTCAAACTGAGGAGGGTCGCCAAACTGGCCTGGTGGAGGTAAGTTCTCCTTGCCTCCAGCGCGCGGAATACGGGACAATGAATTCTGGAAGTTAGTCTAACTTAGTCATTAGATTGAGCACATTGCAAGTGGGCACTTTATCACGCACCTGCAGCCTCAGCCTCAGCTTTGGCATCTTCTCATCTGACGTCCGTCCTTTTCCCTTCTTTCCTTTTCCTTTCCGACGTTGAGACAAGGCCTGCGCGTCGCGGGTTAATTGATCGCGTGCGCGCTTCTTTTGCCGACAGAGCAATTGATGGGCGACAATAGCGCGGGGATGGAATGCCTCATGGCAGACAGAGCAGTAGTCCACGTCGGGCTCGTCCTCACGCTTTCGTTTGCGTGTACTGGACATGTCAAGTGTGTGCGAAAAGTAGAAAAAATCGATGATATCATTACACGTGACTGTGACTCACACTCCACTCGCTTCTCTCAACTCAACCACCATGCTCCACTGGCGGGACGATATAAAGACGAGGGCGGCGTTCGGTTAGTCAATACAACTATGTCTCAACCCACCAACACCTCATCTCCCTCTTCTCGCACCAGTACTCCGCCTCCCGACAACAACACCGACGTGCTGAGAGAGCTCGCCAACCAGCTCACTCCCAGTCAGTCTCAGGGCTTCCTCCGCGGCGTGCGTCGTTCTATCTCTTCTCTTGGACCATATACTCACTGTACCACAGCTTCGTCACCGCATCCTCGATGGCATCAGCGATCAGGACGAGGTGGTCAATGGTCTCAAGCGTCGCGCGGTCGATGCTGAGAACGAGGTCCAGAATCCCACCAAGCGCACCCGTACATCACGCAACCATCGTACCGACGGCGCCCAGGATCTCCCCACCGGATGTACTGGTCCCGAGCTCGCGGCTCGTATCCGTCGTTACGGCCGCAAGTTCGTCATCCTCTGCGGAATCTGGCTCGCGCTTGGTGAAGACGACGTCCAAGCCTTTTTCAGCACCAGCTTCGACGAGGACTACGACCCTGAGCTCCGTTTCAACGGCGCCATAGACGAGAGTGGCGAACGCCAGGCGCAGCTTCGCGAAGTTGTTGATATACTTCCGGAGGACTTGGTTGAGTATACGGACCGCGAGTGGTTCGCAAGATCGGTACGTCGTTCTTTCTCCTTCCTATTCAGCGCTCTGACAATTGCAGTTTGACGACGGCATGCGGAATCAACTCAATAACACAACCTCCCGACTCCGCCGCGACGGCCTATACAACATCATTCACGGGCTCAAGATTGATCCACCCGAGCGCTCCGACGACGACGAGGACGAGGCTCCCTTCGAGGACCGCGTTCCTATCAAGGTTACCGTCTCAATGCTCGCGACCCCGGAACTGCGCAGCCAGTACTTCAAGGTACTCATCGGTTGGCGCGCTGATACCAGCGAATACTCGATCTACGGGGTTCCACTCTTGCACGGTAATGAATCCGACACACTCGACTTCAACGAGCTCTTCCGCCATCGCCTTTTGCTTAAGGTGTGTTGTCTATCCGCTGTGACGGCCGTTACTTACGTCTTGAACCAGGTCTTTGCTTCAATCATTCGCGGAACCCGTGGCCCGGTAGGTCTAATGAAGAAGAAGTCCAAGCTCCCTCGCGCCGAGT